CAGGATGGGGGATTTGGCCCAGGGCTGGGAGCCTGCTGCAGTGAGTGGCTGCCTTGTTGGGCTGGCCTGGGAGCTCCAGCTGGGTAAAGCAACTCCAGCAGCCCCACCAGCTCCTGGCTTTGCACATTGATCTGGGGCGGATGGGGCATTTGACCATGGCCCCTAGATCAGGCATTTCTGAGGAATGGAGTGTTTTTGAGCAGTGACTGCAGGCACAGCTAAGACACTGTGGCGGCCAGGCTTGCCAACTGTAGATACAGCATAGCATGGTATGTGGTTAGGCGGTGCCCAAGGGTATGTGCCTCCCTCAGACTATCCTGGCCTACTGGAGAGCAGAGGGGCCCATTTCTGTGGTTAATATTTAATTGCTCAGCCCCAAACACAGCTGCTGAATGGGGCCATTCCATTAATCATGAATACCAGATGAAGCCTCAGCAGGTGCTCCAGTGGAACAGGCTTTGCTGTGTCCTTGGCCTCTGCCTGGGGTGGGGCTAGAGCTGGGAGCAGGTGAATGTCCCAGCTTGGGAGGGGACCTTGGCCAGCAGAGGCAGCTCCCCAACCTCCCCCACTTGGTTGATTTCTGGGGGAGTCAGCATCTTTGTCTATCAGCTCAGACAGACCCTTACAGAGAGACGCTTGAACTCGTCTGTGTGTATACACCTGTCCTGGGATCACTTCCTGTCACAGAGATGACTGCTCAGGGCTCAGGAGGGGGTGGGGACATAAAGACCTATTTCAGAGACAGGAGGGCCCTGGCTCGAGTGAGTGGGACCCTTTTCCTGCTGAGCCCTGGGGCCTCACACACCTCACCTGTGCACACAGGCAGTCCGTCCTCTGTGGCCCCTGGGGAGGGGCTGCTGAAGGCAGCAGCCTGAGCCCTGGGTCGACAGCTTTGTGACATGGTCCTGGAGTGTCAGGCCCCAGAGCCCAGCACTGGCTCCATCTGGTCGGTCTCTGTTGGATCTTCCCAGGGTACCTGGGGAAGCCTCTCAACATTGGCCCTGATCTTCCAATAAGGAAGCCACCAGCCTGCAGAGCTAGGCTGGGAGATGCCCAAGTTAAGCACAGGAGCTACTGACATGCTTGGCTGTGCCTTGCTAACTGCAGACCTGCCCCACCCCCTGCCCCTGGGTGGAGTTCTGCCAGGAGGCAGCCTCCAGCTGGCGGTTAAAACCCCAGAGTTCAGCTTGCCTCTCAGGCCTGGTACCCTGCGAAGCCAACAGCAGTGGGTCGTCTGGCTGGCATCACACCCCAGGGAGACAGCTGCTAGCAGGCCAACCCTGGTCTTCAAGACAGCAGGATTCTTGGTACCTAGGTGGTCTATGTAGTGGACAGGCTGAGTCTACCAGTAAAGGCTCATGCCAACCAGGGCAGGTGGAGCCTTAAACCAGAGGTTGACACTTGGGACAGCTCCCAGATGAGAATGTGGCATCAGGAAGTGTCAGTGGGATTCTAGAAAGATCCAGTGCTGAGTTCACCATCAAACATGGGGTCAGGGCTTTTGCCCTCGAATAGCTGCACTCTAGGCTACCTCAGCCCCTTTTCGCAAGACCAGGTGGGCATAAGAAAGTCAGAAACTTGTGCTGATTTTTTAAAAAATGACTATTTCCTTGAAAGGTAGCGTAAGAAAGGCAGAGGAAAAGAGAGATCTTCCATCCACAAGTTCATTCTTCAAACAGGCCAAAGCTCAGGAGCCAGGAGCTTCTTACTGGTCTCCCACATGGGTGACAGGGGCTCAAGAACTTGAGTCGTTCTCTGCTGCTTTCCCAGGTGCATTTGCAGGGAGCTGGATCAGAAGTGGAGGAACCAGGAATCGAACTAGCACTCCTATAGGATGCTGGTGTCACAGGCAGTGGCTTTATCCACCATGCCAGAGTGCTGGCTCCTGTAAACTGCACTTCTGAAAACCATCCTTCCATGGGGGCTACTTCCTGCCTTCTGCTCCCCTGACCCCCTGCCGAAGCTCAGCCACCTCAGCACCCTAATCCCTTCTCTCACTGCCCTTGGAGTTCCCTGCCTCTGGGAGCCGCGTCCCCGCTGCCCTGACTTCACCACTCTGCTCTGACTCCTCAGCCCACCGCAGATCCTCCTTCAACTTCGAGTGCCTGCGCCGGCAGAGCAGCCAGGAGGAGATACCCCTGTCACCTGCCCTGCCACACCGCACCGCCCTGCCTCTGCACCTGATGCAGCAGCAGGTGAGTCAGCCACTGGCCACGCCCCCAGCCCTGGCATGCTCCCTTCCCCCACAGCTGCCCCATGACAGTCCTGCTGGAGCCTGTATGGCGAGTGCATAGAACTCACATCGGGTCCCAGGGCCAACTTGCACAGCCCACCTCTTCCCCGAGGGGCAGCCTGTGGTCCCCTACAAGGCTGGGGCCAGCCTGAACCCCACGGGCAGGACCATTCATTCTGCTGCAGCCCCTGCCCCTCACTTGCTTGGAGAGAGGGGTGTCATGAAGATAGGATTGTGAGGCCTCCCCGGCGTTAGGAAGGAGGCCAGCTAGCCAGGAGAGAGCTCAGAACCCGCAGCCACTCCTAGGGCTTTGCCCCTGAAGGCCAAGCACATGGTCCTTTTTCTTCCTGAAAATGCCCCATCGGCCATGTGGTCCAGCTCTGTTCCTGTGGGGGCAGCCGAGGGACAGACTGAAGTAAAGAGGACACCTGGTTGGATGCAGGTTGAGCCCCGGCTCTCGTCAGGGACCCTGCCTGATCCCCTCTACTCTGCCAGCTCTTTGCTCTCCTGCCATCACTAGGGATGCTAAGCTCCATTTCTGTCCCTTATCACTGGGGAAAATGTTTTTGTGAGGTCTGTCAGCAGGTACCATGAGCCACTCAGGCCCCGGGAGGACTCCCCAGGGCACCTGCCCCACGCTGACCAGGCCAAGACTGCCTCCCTCAGGTGGCCACGTTTCCTAGTTGACAGTGCACCTGTGCTGTCGACCAGTGGAGCCTCAGCGTCCCCTCCCCACTCCACCACCAGCTGCAGGGCAGGCACCCCAAGGTAGGCGTGCCACAGTGGAACTAGCTGATTCCCAGCGTGTGGAAGCAGTATGCTGCCTTTTAGAGGGGTTGCAGCAGGGCAGCGAGAGCCGCCCATGTTCACAGGGGCTCCGCAGGCTCCCTGGAACCCCGAGGGAACAGAATGGGACATCCACAGCACAGCCAGGTCTTTGTACCTTAGGCCCCGTCACTCTGGGAGCCCCACAGCAGGTGCACTCGGGCCTTCTGGGGAGCACACGCCTGCCAGGGAAGCCCCAACACGTGGCCGCCCTCCCTCAGAGCCTCAGGTCTCCCCCTTCCTGTTCCTCTTTCCCCCCTCGCCCTCCAGATCATGGCAGTCGCAGGCCTCGACTCGAATAAAGCCCAGAAGTACTCGCCGAGTCACTCAACCCGGTCATGGGCCACGCCTCCAGCGACACCTCCATCCCGGGACTGGACGCCATGCTACACGCCCCTGATCCAGGTGGAGCGGTCCGAGTCCCTGGAGCAGGTCAACGGCAGCCTGCCATCCCTGCACCGCAGCTCCTGGTACACGGATGAGCCCGAGATCTCCTATCGGACGTTCACGCCAGCCAGCCTGACCGTCCCCGGCAGCTTCCGCAACAAGAACAGTGACAAGCAGAGGAGCGCCGACAGCCTGGTGGAGGCGGTGAGTGTGGTGACCTCGGGCAGCCAGGCAGCCTTGGTCCAGCCCGGCGGCATCCACGGGAGCAGACCTGGGCGGCCTGCGCTGCCTTCTACCTGCTGTGCTGCAGGTGGGCTGCACCAGGCTGTCTCTGGGACCCTTGGCAGCCTGAGTCAGGGCACAGCTGGCCGAGTTCCCCCCACTCCAGGAGACCCTTCACCAGGCCCAGTGCCCAAGTGGACCCCTTGTACCACCACATGGCTTAAAATACGTTTCTCTCCCATGCAGGTTCTGATATCTGAGGGCTTGGGACGCTATGCGAGGGACCCAAAGTTTGTGTCAGCGACAAAACACGAAATCGCCGACGCCTGTGACCTGACAATCGACGAGATGGAGAGCGCGGCCAGCACCCTGCTCGGCGGGAACACATGTCCCCGAGCCAATGGGGGCATGGGGCCCATCCCCCATCGGCAGGACTACGAGCTCCAGGACTTCGGTCCCGGCTACAGCGACGAAGAGCCGGACCCCGGGCGTGAGGAGGAGGACCTGGCAGATGAGATGATCTGCATCACCACCTTGTAGCCCCTCCCCCCTTGCCACCACCCAGGTTGGGTGGGCAGACTGGCTCCAGCCTCGGGTGGGGCGCAGGAGGGCCAGGGAACAAGTGCCTCACAGTCAGCAGCGCCCAGGCCCACGCCGGGAGTGAACGTCCCCGTGGACTTGCGTGCAAGTGACGTCACGCCTCGAGGAAGCCATACCCGGTGGGAATGGGCGGTGGGCGGCAGGGTGAGGTGGTGCCCTCACCTGCCCGGTCCCCGCTGGCAGCAGGCCCGGCCCGCCCACGAGGATGGGCGAAGGTCATGGTAGCCCCGGGGGGAGGTGGAAGGTGCTGGCCACCACCACACCTGTGTCCTTACCTCAGCCGCGGTCCAGCATATCAGACCCCCACGGGGTCCCCACATATCTTATCCCTCGGCCCTTTCCCCGCCCTACGCACTCCCTGCTGGGCTGGCGTGATGGCGTCGAATCTCCCACCCTCCCCGCCAGCATCCTCACCAGGTGGCGGGCGAGTGGCAGTGTGGGGCTGCCCAGGCGAGGTTTTCTGCCGTGTGAAAGGCAACGTTAACTGGAACAGCGCACCTGCAACCAGGTAAACCCAGACACCGCCGTTTGTCTACAAGTCCAGATCCGCTGTACAGGACCTGTAACATACCCCCGTTTGTATTTGTAAAAGAGATGGTCTATATTTTGTAATTACTGTACCGTATTTGAACCACAGCAATATCCATGGGTCCCGACCACTGTCATTCCCCACTGGACACCTTAGCAAATCACTCGTTTTTACTCGGCCTATCCAGAAGTAGGAAAAATAGAGCCAGTTCCCGTTTATTCAGTGAAAACCCTTGGGGTGTCCAATTTTGAGTTCCAGAGAACTTGACATTACAGAAATTTTTTTTTTCCTAAACTATTTTGAGTCACTGTATAAACCTGTCTTTACACAAGATGAGTCACCAGCTGCTGGCTTGCGAGCTTTCCTTGGGGCGAAGGGCCCGTGTGGGTTTGACACTGACCCTTCCCTGTCCCCGAGGGAAGGACAGAGTGGGCACAGCCAGGCTTGTGGTTTATCTGCTGAGAGGGACGGACTGGTCCGTGGGGTTCTGTGCGTCTGGTGCAGGTGTGGGTGCCCACGGCGGGCCTGCTCTCACCCTGACGAGTGCTGGGGGCAGAACCAGAGGCTACTATGGTGGTCTTGAGGGTCAGGACGTGGGGTCTGTGTGGATCACGTGCTGCTGCTCTGCCCGGTGCGGGCAGGACCGTGTGTCCCTGAAGGCTGGCACGTGCCGGCTGTCTGTCCGGATGCAAACCCGCCTCTGGGGGGGTCACTCCGCCTGTCCAGGCTTCCTTGTCTATCCGTAGAAATCGCCGTCGAGCGGCCTGGCTGGGGCCTCCCTGCTCTTATCAGACAGGTACAGATCTTGGTTCAGAATTTTTCAGTAGTGCGTAGACAACCTGTTAGGTTTTTGTGGGGTTCTTTCTGGTTTTTGTTTTGTAAATAACAGCACTTTGTTACAAAAACCTTACAAACCTCTTCTTAAAGACATTCTTACTCCAGATCTAGGCAAAAACACATCAAGGTTTATAAATGACTCTTTCCTGACATAAATCCTTCTTTTTTTTAATTAAAATGCAAAACGTCCTTCAGAACTCAACGGTGTAATCATGTCATTCTCTCTGGGAGCTGTCTGTGCACAGAGCTGGTGCTGGGGGACCCAGGCTGACTGTACCCCGGCCGCAGAGCGCCAGCTCTCCTCAAGGGCTAAACCGCTGTCAACATTACCTTGGACTCCACGTCTCGCTATGGCACTGGCCTCCACCAGGTTCGCCTCTGCGTCCCGGGGCTGGTTTCCAAAGCCAGCAACTGACAAACTGGCATTTGTTAGCAGGCCATGCCACCAGTCCATATCTGTCTGCTCTAAGCCTGGTTCAACCTCTCGTCAATGATTAAATTTTTCTTTGTAAGAAAAGTCTGAGCTTGTAGAGCATTGTTTTGTTCTCAGGTTTTTTGCTTTTCCTGTGTGCTCACCCCTTTTGTTTCAGGCCAAGCTCTGAGAGCAAATAGCTCTCCCCCACCTGGACAAAGTGAGGCTTCCACGTCCACAGGAGCAGGAGTGCGTGCAGGGTTTCGGTCACCAGTGGAGACAGCGCCTGTGTTTCAGCAGCAGCAACAGGAACCTTCATCCCTGTTTGGGCGGGACCCAGAACTCCCTCAACAAAGCAGTGTCCTGGCCCACTGCACTTCTGCGAGAATGGGCCGCTCCTGATGCCCACCCCCAGCTCCACAGGTCATGGGCTCCAAAGATCCTCTCTACCAGGTCAGGGGACAGGGCCCAAGGGAAGGGGGCTGTGGGTGGGACGTGCAGTCACTGCCACACTGGGGCTGAGGAGGGTGTGAGCTGCAGAGAATCAGAATGCATGGACAGCACTGTGAAGGGTGGTGGCCAGGGCCTGGTCCCCGGGACACCCACTTCTGGTCATGCTGGCAGCCACTCCTGATGCCACCAGCTTCCCGTTGGTGCACGGGGCAGAGCCGCCCAGGACCCTGCTTCCTTCCTCCTGTGCTCTTCCAACCACAAGGCGTGTTCTTCCTCTTTTTAGCCATTGCAGGAAGGCTCTGGGCCAAGCCGTCCCCCCGACCCCCGCTCCCCATGAGGCAGATGCTGGCAGGGGCTCCGTGCACCCCACCCATGTTGTGGCTGGTCCTCCCTGCCCTGGCCCCAATGAGTACCTTTCTCCTGGGTGCTGCTATTGTCATGTGCTCCCCAAGTTCATCCTGCAGCCTTGGCCTGGGCGGGCTCTTACGAGAGGCACCTGTTGTACCCTGGAGCTCTCCTCCTTGCTAGGCCGCCAGCAGCAGCTTGGCTTGCTCTCCATCCGCTGTGCTGCCAGGGGGAGAGGCCAGCACTGTCCTGGCTGCTGAAACCACTTGAGGGTGTGGCTGACATCCTGGGCTCGCTGGAGCCCACCCTGGCAGTGGGGAGGGGCTGGAATGCGAGTGACTATCTTGGCTACCCACCTAACAAAGCCGCTGACCAAAGCAGCCATTGTCACGGAGGCTGATACATCAGGGAAGTGAAGGGCTGTGGCCTGCCACTTGTGCACCCGTAGCCCAGGAGGACCAGTGGAGGAACAGCCCTCCTCCCCCCGCCCAGGACACCTGGCACCTGCCCTCTTTGGCAGAAGGGAGTGGTAGAGTTGGCCTGGGGGGCTCCAGCGCCCGGAGGATGGCTGTGGAGCAGGTGGGAGGCCCTGTCTCTTGGCAGATTTAGTTTCCTTTCTTGAGCTGGTTCTCAGGATAGATAATAAGCAGCTTGCAGGTGAGATTAAAGTTTAACCACTTAATGTAACCAGGGAGGGGCGCCTGGCTTTGTTTCCTTCCACCTCGCTGCGGGAAATCTGAGGTGGTCTTGTGAACCCCTCAAAGCACCCTGACCCCCACAGAGGGGGCGGGACTCCTGTGCCGTCCCCCTTTCTCCTTACTTGGGGGCACAGAGCAGATTCCTATGCAGTGGTGGTTCTTCTCCCTGCCATCCATGGCTTCAGATCAAAACCAGTCTGCTACACAGCCAGTTTCCGTTCCCTCGGCAGAGCTGCCTGGGAACGGCATCGCCACAGGAAGCTAAGTCGCCCGTCACCTTATTGGGCTGAAAGGGGTGTAAGAAGCACTGCTGCCAACTGCCCCTGCCGCCCCCAGCACCAGTCTCCACAGCTGCCAGTCCCTTCACTTCAGCGTTCCTACAGGATCAGGGGGGCATGGCTGCCCTCCTTGGCCTCCCCAATCGGTCATGGCTGGCTGGCTAGAGTATCGGCATTAACCCTCCCTTGTCTGCGGCCAGCTAACCCCAGGGCTGGCTGCTCAGACAGGAAGCAGTGACCTGGTGCAGAATACATGCTGTTTCCTGCTCATGGGAGAACCTCGTGAAATGCTAACCCATGAGCCCACTGGCAGAGCAGCTGCCGTGCCATTCCTGAACGAGCACACCAGATCCCTGAGTGGGGATGCATCACAGAGCAGAGCCTAGGAGAGGTGAGGCAGTGATGTCCCAAGTGGCAAGGAAAAGTTGAAGCAGAGGCCAGCTACACCCAGGTGATTCCTTCAGCACTCCCGGCCTCAGCTGAAGCCAGCAGCTTGACACACAGGATGTCCCTTCAGAGGGGTGCCAGGGCAGCAGGGGCAGTGCTTCTGGGCAGAGCTCCCACCCTCAGGAGGGAGGCCCAGAAGGGACCACTTTGTTCGAGGCCTCAGGACCCAGGAGAAAGCCACGTGGCTACAAGACAAGGGCATGGCAAGAGCGAGTCCTCCACCACTGCTGGCCTGGCCACTGCCTCTCTGCTGTCCCTCCAAGGGACAATGCTGTGGAAAAGGAACTCGACCCACCTACTGGTCCTCGGGCTCACGTCCAAATTGCTGTCCAGTGTGCAGCTGCTGGCTTGAGGTGGGCTGTGCTGGCCTCCTGGGGCTCCCCTAGGCAGTTCCAGGCAGCAGCTCAGCGCTGGGCAGCCAGGGTCTTGGGGGCGTACACTGGGACGCCCTCGTCACAGAGCGCAGGCCGCCCCCGGATGATGTCAGCCGCCTTCTCAGCGATCATGATGGTTGGGGCGTTGAGGTTGCCGCTGACCACACTGGGCATGATGGAGGCGTCAACGACACGGAGGTTCTCCACTCCGAGGACCCTGGTCTGTGGATCGACCACAGCAGTGGGGTCGGAGGGCTGGCCCATCTTACAGCTGCACGATGGGTGGTAGGCGCTGTCGGCTTTGGCCCGCACAAAGGCATCGATCTCTTGATCCGACTGAATGTGGCTTCCAGGCTGTAGCTCCTCTCCCCGAAAAGGAGCGAGGGCTTCCTGGGCAAAGATCTCTCTGGTTAACTTCACACACAGGCGGAAATCCTTGATGTCAGTCTCTGTGTAGGACAAAATGGGTAAGGCTCAGCCAGCTGGCCCGCAGCCACAGGAGCCTGTTCCCTGCCCACCAACGGAGGCTGGTGCTGCAACCCCCTAGAGGCAGCAGCTGCTCACCAGACTCAGCTTGTCCAAGAGATCTGGATTTCAGTCTGACTCTCAAGTGAGAGAGGGAATAAGCTCACCATCCCACCTGCCCCCTATGCCCCATCCCATGGCACAGCTGCGAGCGATGTGCAGGGCTCGGGTTTGCTGCATGCAAAGCAGATGAGCCCAGCTAGGGTACCTACTGCTGCCTGGTGCCCAGGGGTGGGCAGGGAGCATGCTGTGGGTAGTGTCCACGGGCTCCTGGCTCCTACTGGGAAAGCCAGTCCTGGGGCTGCCACTGCCACTCCGTGGGCCCACACACCTGGTAGACTACAGAATTAAAATGAGTTTTATTTTGGTGCAACTTTTTTTGGAAATCCATGAAGTTTTTCCATTGTATCCACATATTATGATTTTTAAAAAATCCTTTTGCATCAAAATAAACTCAGAGCCTTCATGCCACTTCTTCGAGAGCTGTGTGACTTTGTGGCCCAGAGTGACAGGGCAGGGAAGGCAGAGGACAGCGGGGCCCTGGCTTCCTGACACCCCGATTCAGGGGTGTGAGGGCAGGAAGATGGCCTCTGAGTTACCTGTGGACAGGTAGTTGGGCTGGATCACAGGGTGGTCCTCAGGGTTGGTGCTCCTCAGCTTGAGCCAGCCCACGCTTGTGCCCCTCATGGTTCCCACATGCACCTAGGAGGACCAGAGCAGCAGGGCCAGGCCGTCAGCGACCCCTGCCAACCACAGCGCAGGACCTGGGAGAGGCCCCCAGCCCCTTCTCCAGCCCCTTCCCCAGCGTAGGTGAGATCAGACGTGACGTGGCAAGCAGTTCCAGGGCAAGGCGGGGCTGCTGGTCTCATCTTGGCCACCCACCACGTGCGCGCTGCAGTGCTGTCACACTGTGTTCAGATCACCCCCGCCACCTCCTGGCCCCACTCAGGCACACCGAGCGCCCGAGAACCTCAGTGTCAGACAGGAGGCATCCCCAGGCTGGGACTCCACCTGCTCACCTGGTAAGCCTCCTGCTGCGTAGGGACCCGCCCGTGGTCAATCACCTGAGATGGCAGGAAATGGAACTGGATGTCTGGGTGGGGGATCCCAGGCTGGCTGCGAATGAAGCCACCTGTTTCCAGGTGGGCTGTGGCTCCATCCCCTAGCGGTGGCGAGAGAACAAGCTGGAAGAGCTGGTAAGGACCCTACAGATGGCCACCACCTCCTCCTTCCTGGGCAGCTCCCTCTGTCTTCCTGACTGCTAAGTGGGCCTCCAGACCCCAATCTGACAGATGCCCGCACCTGCCTCCTCTTCCCCGGCGGGGGCTCACCTGGCAATGCTACATGTATCAACTACATGCAGGGCTCAGTGCTCACCCAGTGCCAGCTCCACTGGCTCTCCACACCAACTAGGGCAGCACACAGCAGTTGTATGTGCAAGAAAACGGATGCCGTTTCTGCAGCCTGGTACCCCAGTCTCCCCTCATGCACATCCCCTCCTAGCTTCCCAAAGGCATCTCTCGGGCCCGGCACAATAGCATAGTGGTTAAGGTCCTCCCCTTACACACCTGGGATCCCATATGGTTGCCCGTTCTAATCCCAGCAGCCCTGCTTCCCATCCAGCTCCCTGCTTATGACCTGGGAAAGCAGTCGAGGACGCCAAAGCCTTGAGACCCTGCACCCACATGGGAGACCCAGAAGAAGCTCCTGGCTTCAGATTGGCTCAGCTCTAGCTGTTGCGGCCTCTTGGGGAGTGAATCATCGGAACATCTTCCTCTCTGTCTCTTCTCTCTATATATCTGTCTTTCCAATAAAAATAAAAAAATCTTTTAAAAAGGCATCTCTCTGGGCCACCCCCATGCAGGGCAGAGGAGAAGCAGGCCCTAACCAAGGAACCCCCATCCCACCCCACCTCGGGGCAGACCTGGACTAAGCTTCCTGGTACAGGCTGTCACTTCCAGGGAGTTACAGTTTAGCTGCATGCCCAGCACCTTGTGGCCAGAGCCTCTGCCTGCCCAGCTCCGTGCGACCCTGTGTGCCCACCTGAAAACTTCCAGAGCCACTGCAGACCGATGCGGGCCTTGCGCAGGGGCTTCTGTGCGGAGTGCAGCGTGATGGGGCGGGTGCACGCTTGCTGGACGTAGATCTCCAGGTGGTCCTGCAGGTTCTGGCCCACCCCTGAGGCCGGGAGAGCAGAGGAGGGTAGCTAGGCGTCACCAGGGACTCCTCAGGACCCCACTCCCTCCCCACCTGGGGCCACTGACTTCCTGCTCAGCCCCAGGCTAAGCACAGAGGTCTCTTCCTGCATTCCTGGCTAAGTCCGGCTCTCACTCAGCTGCTGCGAGGGCCACCAACCTGGCCACCTGCCCTTGGGCAGCTGCACAGGTGCCCTTGGCCAGCCCTGCTAAGCAGCTTCTCCTGTGAAGGTGTGGGCTCACTCCCAGGAGGAACCACACAGCCTTCCCCACAACTCCTGGCACAGGGGAGGTGGCCATGGACCCTACACCAGCTCATCCAAGCCCCTAGGGCGTGCCAGGTGGATACTTCAACAGACTACACCTGAGGAAGCCTGGTGTAGACAGAGCCCACCCACTGTGAACAGGGGGTGCAGGACCTGGAGTGTGAGGGCAGCCCCTACAACTCGGCTCAGGCCTCAGCCCCTAGCTCATGCTCCCCATCCAGGAGCTGGCCGCCTCCCAGCCCAAGGCAGCCTTGCTCACAGCTGCCCTAGCGACACGCTGACCTGGCAGCAGGCGACTACAGGGTGCTGTCCTCCAGGTGGGAGCCCCAGGAACATGGTAGCCGACCCCCAGCACCTGCCCACCCAGCCATGGGGAAAGAGGGTACAAAAGGGAGGGAGCTCACCGGGCAGGTGGCACACCACGGGGATGCCCAGCTTCCGGAGGTCATCGGCGGGCCCCACGCCAGACAGCAGCAGTAGCTGCGGGGAGTTGATGGCGCCTCCACTCAGAATCACCTCCTTGCTGGCACGAGCCTGGCAGAGAAGCAGCCAGGTCACGCGAGGACCATAGAATGGGTGTGGATAGGAGTGTGTGGTGTGCACAGTGTGGGCGGGGTAAGCTGGCCTGCCGCTAGGTGAAAGGGTTGAAACCTTCAGGCCTGCACCCCAAGACCTGAGGGGCAGGGACTCACATGGCATCCTAGCAGGCAGCAATCCTGGGGGCTGCCTCCCGTGGTGGCCCCAGGCCCCCGCTGCTCCCTTCCTGCCACAGGGAGGAGGTGGGACTTCCGCCACCCTGACACACACGCCCTCCTGCCCTTTACTCACCACACGGCTCTGGCCCTTGGAGACATATTCCACGCCCACCGCACGGGTCCCTTCAAACAGCACCCGCCTCACCAGCGTCCGGGCCTCGGCCTGCAGGTTGGGGCGGCTGAGGGTCGGGTGCAGGTAGGCGCAGGCTGCGCTCCAGCGCTTGCCTGCAGGATACAGCACAGGGGTTGGGTTGCTTTACCGTCCCTCCTCCACCCCTGTTCTTCCCAGCACCAAGGGAACAGAAGCCCCTCCTGCCCCGGGCTGCCCATGGCCACCTGCACGGCCAGAGGGCTGAGAGCACTCAAGCTGGGGGCCAGCAGCTCTGGGTGCACCCTGGCCTCTCCTGGTCTCTCCACGGAGAAACGGAGGTGGGGTCAAGGGCGCCGCTGGCTGCCTCGGACTCCACACCTGCAGCCAATGCTGGGCTTGGGCAGCTAACCCCTCACCGCCTGCAAGGCGGGAGCCAGGTACACCTGCCCCAGGCATTCCCATCCTAAGACCTCTCCCCGGACCTGTATGGGTTGCGTGTTGGGGGACAGAACGGGGGTGGGACATGACTCCTCCCTTGGACTGCCATGGGTGAGGACACACACACACACCACACCCCTGTTTCCCACCTTCGTGGATGGTCATGTCCATCCAGCCAAAGCCTTCCTGCTGGAAGCCGTTCATGTCCTCGGTGAAAGGGTAGCCGGCCTGCTGCGCGGCCTGCAGGAAGGCCTGGTGCAGCGGATGGTTGGTCTTGCCCCGCGACACGTGCAGCGGGCCCTCGCCGCCACGGTACCTGTCACTGCCCAGCTCGTGCGCCTGCGCCTTGCGGAAATAGGGCAGGCAGTGCGCGTAGTCCCAGCCCTGTGCGCCCTGGCGCTGCCAGCGGTCGTAGTCGGCGGCGTGCCCGCGCACATACACCATGGCGTTGAGGGACGATGAGCCGCCCCACACGCGTCCGCGCGGCCAGTACAACACGCGGCCGTCCAGGCCGGGCTGCGGCTCCGTGTGGTAGCACCAGTTGTACTTGTCGTCGCACAGGTTGGCCACCAGCGCCGCGGGCATGTGGATCTTCCAGGACAGCCGCTTGCTGCCAGCCCACACGTCCTTGGGCCCGGCCTCCAGCAGCAGCACGCTCTCGGCGGGGTCCTCGCTGAGCCGCGCTGCCAGCACACAGCCCGCCGAGCCCGCGCCCACCACCACGTAACTGAACTCTTCTGTGGTGCCCAGGGCGCGGCGACCCTGAAGCCAGCCTGGCGCGCCCACACCCAGGGCTCTGGCCAGGCCTTGGCGCGCAAGCCTACAGCTTCGCGGCACCCACCACATGCTGCTGGCCCAAGTCCTCTCGGATCCACGAATCAGCTGCAGGGTCCTGAAAGAGGAAAGGGGGCTTGAGCAATTCTGGAATCTGCATGCACGTTCAGTGATCAGTGCAGGGCTGGGCTGGCCACACCCCAAGTGCAGCGAGGGACCCAGCTCTCCACAGCCTCTGCCCTGGGGGAACTGGGCACCGGGGACATGCAGCAACTTTGGGAGCAGTGATGGCAATAGGGTAGTCCTCTCCTTCTGCTTGGGGGTCCCCGGAAAGGTTTACCCGTGGCACATGTGAGTGCACCCAGAGGCCAGCAGCAGGGTGGACAACCGGGCTTGCCCTCTGGGCGCCAGGCATTGCTCTTCTCAAACATCACATACAGAAAAGGCGCCGGCTGCCTGAGGCCAGGGAAGAGGAGGAGGCCTGACCAAACAACTGCTGGTAGTACCAGATGACGGAACGCCCTGGTGTGCAGGAGTCGGGGCTGCACTAGAGGGCTTTCCAGAATAAGGGCCAGGACCAGGGTCCTCGGAGCAGACGCTGGAGTTGGCATGGGGCCATGGCGCAGCGCCAGAGGGGCCCCAATGCGCTCCAGTGCTCAGGCACAGGAGCCTGAGCACTGCTACACAAGCTACTGCTAAAATGGATAAAGTTCCACCCACGGAGCTCAGGCACCCATGGCCGGCCCGAGAACCCCCGAGACAACGCTGAGGAATCCCTCCACGCCCTGCATGTGCCCCGCACCAAAGAACATGGCCAGCCCCGCACTGGAGGCAGGTGACAATGGTTAGACTAGTCTGCCAGCCCCGCTCCGCAGGCACAGGCGGGAGGGGTGGCAGGGCCTCCTGCAGGCTGAGCCAGATGCAGCAGCACCAAGAAGAGCCCTCCACAACCACAGGCCCCACGCGAGCAGCCCAAAGCAGCGGTCACGACAACCTCCTCGCTAGACCAATGCAACACCATATTGCAGAACTGGGCAGCATGAAAGGAAGGTCTACCTCCATCTCTACTGCCCTTCTACATGGGATCCAGCATGAATACAAAATCGGAAGTCATGCAATAAAGCAAGAGTAGCCGTCACTGTGCACAATGGATTGAACTACCAGTTCAAGTGCTGGCTGTTCCGCCTTCCCATCTAGCTCCCTGCTAATGCACTGGGGCCGGCAGCAGAGGATGGGCCCAGTGCTGGGAGAGGCAGATGGAGCTCCAGGCCCGTGGCTTCAGAGTGCCCCAACTCTGGGCATTTGAGCAGTGAATCAGCAAGAGGGAAGAGTTGTCTGTCTCCCCGTCATCCACAATTCAAATAAAATCTCATCCCCCCAACACAAATGATTCCTTATCAATTACCAAACGGTAGCCAACAGAACCAGACCAGAGGACCTATCCAGATGTTGGAACCATCATAACAAAGATGCTGATATTGGTGCAAAGAGAAAGGAATCCTCCAGGTTATGGATAACCGCATTTCCACGGACTTCCAAAGACCCTTGTACGCATGGACTTCTAAAGTGAGAGAGGGGGTAACCCAGGCGGAGTGGGTTCTCCCTTTGTTCCCAGAAGGGCGGTGCTGAAGAAGCCATCATCATCACTAACCCTCCACAGCAGAGAGCTCGAAGCCCGCACAGACTCAATGGAACATTCCACATGACACAGTCAGAGGAAAGCATCCCTGTTCTTGACGATTCCTTCTGGGAGATGTCAGAAGAGGCGTGTTTCCTCACGCAGGGAGGCCAGCAACACCCTCCTCTCACAGCACACAAAACTAAGAAAACTAGAGACCAGTCTCTCCCGTGTGTATCCTTCAGCCATATACAGATGACAGATGCACACATGTGCACACAGCTAGCATTTTCCGGGAGCGAGCCAGCCAGTGGACTGTCTCTTTCCCTTGCTCCCTCTCCCCAAAACATTTTTTTTAACTTATATAACCACAAACAAGTGGGATCTATCCTGGGTATACAAAACGGGCTCAGCCTTCAACATCAGTGAATATCCATCAGACAGCTACAAGAAAAACCAATCATAAAAGGCCTTTGACAAAACCCAACATCCATTCATGATAAAAGAAGAAATTTCTCAGCAAACTAGCAATAGAGGGGAACATCCTCCCACATGGATGCGACCCCCGGCCACTCCTTGCCAGCACGCTGCAAGTGCGAGCTGAGGCACTGAGAAGGGGACCAAAGGTAGACAGGCGGGAAAAGGGGAAATCAGTCTGCTTGCAGATGACCAATACAGAAAATCTGCAAGACAAGATAAAAAAATAGTAATAGTCCTGGAGCTCAGGCAGTGACAGCAGGCTACGGGGTGAAAAGTTAATAAAGTCACTCACTCACCTACAAACCAGCAACAAGCTGAACTTGAACAAACACAAAGCATCATTTACACCAACACCTCAAACGAAATAATACGGTATATTCCTAATAACAAATATGTGCAAGAGCTACGAAACCGTGTGAGAGATGAAAGGTTCAATATTGTCAGGACGTCAGTTCTTGGCAACACAATCCCCATTAAAAACCAAAACAACAACAACAACAACAAAACCCTGAAGTTATTCTGTGGGAATATTGACCAACAGTTAGAAAGCTGATGTCTGGGCCCGGGGCCATGGTCAAGCGGCTAAAGTCCTCGCCTTTAACACACCAGGATCCCATAAGGGCACCGGTTCTAATCCCGGCTGCTCCACCTCCCATCCAGCTCCCTGTTTGTGGCCTGGGAAAGCAGTCGAGAACAGCCCAAAGCCTTGGGACCCTGCACCTGTGTGGGAGACCTGGAGGAAGTTCCTGGCTCCTGGCTTCAGATCAGCGTAGCACTGGCCATTGCGGTCACTTGGGGAGTGAATCATCAGAGAGAAGGAAGACCTTTCTCTCTGCCTCACCTCCTCTCTGTATATCTGACTTTCCAATAAAAATAAATAATTTTTTTTTTAAAAAGAAAGAAAGTAAGTTAGTTGATGTTCAGGGGTGAAAAACCAAGAATAACCAACACAACACTAAAAGAGAAAAACAAAGCCAGAGGATTGGTGCTAGGTGACCCCAAGGCTTCTTACAGAGCAACAGTAAGTAAATTAGTGGGGAACTGGTGATGGAACAAACACATCCATGCAACAGAACCACAGAGCTGTCCCCGACTGTCCCTGACAGAACAACAGCGTCTTCCACAGAGGGAGCCACAACATCCGGGTCTCCACGGGCCACAGGAAAGCAACGCAGGAGCTGATGTTACACAACGCTTGAAGCCACCACCTGGGATGCTGACCTCCCACGCTGAGTGCTGGGACGGCCCCAGCCACTCTGCTGGCCCAGCTCCCTGCCAAGGAACCTGGGAAAGCTGTGGGAGGTGACCTGAGGGCTGAGGCCCCCGCCACTCACGTGGGAGACCCAGATGAACTTCCTGTCTTCTGGTGTCATCCTGGCCCAGACCTGGCTTTGTGCACAACTGACGAGTGATTCAACGAATGAAGATCTTTCCCTAGCTCTACTTTCCAAACAAATAAATCTGCCTAAAACAGACACAGACCTTGTATCCTTGTAAAAAAAAAAAAAAAAATCATTCAAAATGTATCATAGGGTGCCAGCACAGTGGTATAGCAAGTTAGTTTTGCACCTGTGGTGCTGCCATCCCATATGGGTGCCAGGTCAATTCCTGGCTGCCCCACTTCTGATCTAGCTCCCTGCTTATGGCCTGAGAAAGAAGTGGAGGATGCTTCAAGGCCTTGGGCCCCTACATCCTTGTGAGAACCCCCAGAAGAAACTCCAGGTTTCCAGCTTTGGAACAAGGATGCTCCTAATGTTACAGCCATCTGGGGAGAGATTTCTCTCCTCCTGCTTCCCTCTCTCTCTGTATAATTCTGACCTTCAATAAATTAAACCATTTTTTAAAAAATTATCACAGACCTAAATATAAAGCATAGAACTAGAAAATGACAGGACAAACTCCAAACCTTGAGGTTGAGGACTTTTTTTTTTTTTCAACATTTATTTTACTCACTTAAAAGACAGAGTTACAGAGAGACACAGAGAGAGACAGCTTCCACCTGCTGGCTCACTGTGCAAATGGCCTCAGCAGCGATGGTGGACCAGGTCAAGGCCAGGAGCCAAGAACTCCATCCGGGTCTCGCATGTGGGTGCAGGGACCATCCACTGCTGCTGTCCCAGGAGCATCAGCAGGGAGCTGGCTCAGAACTGGAGCAGCTGGGAACCGGGAAGCCCATATCCCAGGAAGAGGCTCGCACTCTGCCACAACCCCAGGCCGATGGTGACTTTTTAAATACAGCACCCCAGGAAAGATCCAGGATACCAGAAGCAACCATGAACCCTGCTGAGAGTTTAGAAAGGTAAGCCAGGACCTAGAGAAAAGATCTGCAAAAGACATGATCTGCTAGAAACCGTGAGCTCAGATGCGTCCACCCCGGTGTCCTGAAAACTCCTAACAGCTGTCTGAAAGGCCCAAGGCCGCGCCGAGGAAGATGGGTAGATGGCAAACGGGCACCGGAAGAGGGGCCCCACATCCTGCATCGCACGTGACTGTAAGGGGCAACAGGGAGAGACCCCGACCCCAAAACACTCACCGCAGCCAGCGCTGCAGAGGGGACAGGGCAGCAGTGTCACCCACTGCTCGGGGGGTGCAATGATGCAGCCACTGATGGACAGGGGCGTATATTTTTTTTGGTCAAGAGTTTTTTCTTGAAAGTTATTATTTTTACTTGAAATAATTACAAAGAGGGTAGAAGTGACAGAGACATCTTCCATCTGCTGGTTCACTCCTTAGGTGACCTCAGTGACTGGAGCTGGGCAGGTCTGAAACCAGGAGCCAGGGGCTTCCTCCAGGTCTCCTACATTAAGTTCAGGGTCCCAAGGCTCTGGGCCATCCTTGACTGCTTTCCCAGGCCACAAGCAGGGAGCTGGATGGGAAGTGGGGCTGCCAGGACATAAAGTGACACCCACATGGGATGCTGGTACTGCAGACACCTCGGCGCTGGTTCCTGGGTTTGTAATTTCTAACAAAATCTAAACACGCTCTTCTCATACCATCCACCCTGGAATTTACCCAGAGGT